GCAAGCTATTGTATTTAAGTGGGGAGCAAACCCCACACTCATTTGCATAGATTATGTTACCTAGTTGGGTAATGAAACATCTGCAACAAACAACCAAGTTCAGAGAGCACCAAGGATTCCACAGGTCAAACCTGAACTACATGAGACCTTGGAAAAGGTTCAGAGAAGAGGAACTAAGATGATCAAAGGCCTGGAGACTAAAACATGAAGAACGGCTGCAGGACTTGGATATGGCCAGTCTAAAGAAAAGAAGAAATAGGGGGGTAGGATAGCAGCATTCCAGTATTTTAGAGGCTACCACAAAGAAGAGGGGATCAAATTATTCTCCAAAGCACCTGAAGGCAGGACAAGAAACAATGGTTGGAAACTGATCAAAGAGAGAGGCAACCTGGAATTAAGGAGAGGGTTCCTAACAGTGAGGACAGTTAACCGGTGGAACAGCTTGCCTTCAGAGATCATGGGCGCTCCATCACTGGAGGTTTTTGAGACTGGACAGTCACTTCTCTGAGATGTTATAGGTTTTCCTGCTTGAGTGGAGGGGGGAGGGGCTGGACTGGAAGACCTCCAAGGTTCCTTCCAGCTCTGTTCTTCTATTGGAAATTGCATATATATTTGTGGCCAGAAAACACTGTTAAGTTTTGTTTTGTAAGAAATAAACCTGGGGTTTTGTGTGAAGCAGATTCCATATCCAAATTCTGATTTTCATGTTAGATGTGAATATATACATCTTCACAATATGGTCAGTGACAGATAAGCAAATGTAAAAACCTTAGTCATTGTGCTTGCTGCTGGACACTGGGGCTTTGCTGCTGTGGCTACTGGACATCTTCCTGTACTATCTTGTTGGTTGCTGGGGCTTTAGAGCAGAAGCCGGGGATGGGGGAGAAGGGGTGGAGTGGCAGAGTATTATGGACTCCCCTTTTCTCACTGAGGCTACTTCTTCCCTGGATAACCCTGAGAATAAGGAAGGGGACATGATCCATCTGCTAGACACTCTATAGAAGACTGATTCCTCCTGGGTGAGAACCAGAGAAGAATAGGATGTGTGTGTGTGTGTGTGTGTGTGTGTGAGAGAGAGAGAGAGAGAGAAAGAGGGGGGGAGGGAGAGCGAGAGCGCTCTAGCAGCTGGTAGGAAGAGCAAGGGAGGGTTTCTGTATTAGTGAGTGTTAGTATGTATGTGTGTGTTGCAGTGTATGTGAATATGTTTTGTAGTAGCATGGTAGTTAGCTAGGTATCCTGATGATGCTGAGAGCTAGTGAGGCTAATGTGCTTTGGATGCTTGGCTTCCCTGTTCAAAGATGGTTGCAGAAATCAGTGGCAGATTTCTGGTTTTGGGAATTGGGGGCCTTAATTTCGAGCTGGGGCTCCCAGTATGAGAATGGAGGCAAGCCACAGTATTATGGTGGTGATGAGCAAGGGGAGTCAGGTAGCCTGCTATTCCTAGGGAATGCAGGACTGTTTTACCCTGGTTTTATATTTCAGCTCCTTGGTCTCAGCCACTGACCTTCAGTGGCCCTGACTTTTTGTGGCGGCAGCTGCTTTTAAATGTTAACATGTTTTAAATGTTTTTTTAACTTCTGAAAAGAAAGCGGTATACAGTTTGATATAATAGGAATGTCTTACCCTGTGTAATTTGTAAACAATGTGGAACATATTTCTTTTTGAAATGATTTTATCTAGAAATGCCATCTTTATTTTTTAGTGAACTTACAAACCACCAATTAACAAAGTATTTTATTAGTTCCTTCATCTCCAAATACAGATTTCCTAATAAACTGTGAGAAACACTACATGAAAACTGCAGTGTTAATTCAAGACAGCAGAGGAACTTGTCTAATGCTACCATCAAAATCAATAATAATAGCTAAAATTTAAAACTGTTGAAATGAAAAAAGATTGGTTCCCTCACCTAGAGAAGATGTCCAGATGTAAAAGAGAACTGTAGCTTTTCACTATATTCTGCAGCTACTAATCCCTACAAATACCTGTTCCTCCATGCGTAGTGCTTCAGGAGTAGAGGGGCAATGTAATAGGATCCTTATAGTATGTACAAAAGCTGAATTAGGATGGGGATGGAGGGCAACCAAATTATAAGACATGCTTGGTCAGACAGAAGGAAATTTAATCTAGCAACTTGGTTCTATATCTTGCCAATCAAATCCAGGAAAGCAAGATGCAGGAATACTAGGTATGTTTCCCATCTTGAGTTGAAAATAATACAAGACCAAGCTTAAGAACAAATGAGTGCAGAATTGAGAAGATCGTAACAGACAGCAAAAGCCACCTCTGCAAAGAAACTGAAAAAACAGTGAACCACCTAGTTAGCTGCTGCAAAATTGTACGGACTGACTACAAACAACAGCATAACAAAGAAACAATAATAGTGCATTGGAATATCTGCAAAAATATACCATTTGCCTGCAAGTGAGAATTGGTCAGATCACAAAATAGACAAAACAATGGATAATGAAGATGGTAAAGTGCTCTGGGACTTTAGAATTCAAACAGACAAGCACCTGCCACATAACATCCCAGAGTTAACAATTGTTGATAAGAAAGACAAAAAAGTCTGGATTGTGGACGTGGCAGTACCTGGAGCCAGCAGAATAGAAGAAAAAAGTAGAACAAGTGTGACAAAAGAAAGCAAAGATAGTACCAACAGTAATAGCTCCTTGGGTGCATCCCAAAACAATTAGAGCACCACTTGAATACCATAGGCATTAAAAAAAAATCACCATCAATCAATTGCAAAAGGTAGTTTTACACAGAACAGCTTACATCTTGCGACAATATCTTTAACAACATCTGCCTATCTCAGGTTCTTGAGAAAAACTCAATAGATGGATAAAAGTGCGAGAAGGAGGAAGAGGAAGAAAGGAAGAGGAAGAAGAACAAGAAAAACAAGGGGAGGGGGAGGCCAACTGGATTTATTTCTTGAAGGTTTCCTTCAACTTTCATAATGATTAACAATAGCTTTATGTCTCATGCAATTATCTCCCACTTTTTATCAATTTTAGGCTTCCTAAAACCACTTATATGTACAATTAAAAAAAAACACAAACTTTCCAATTTTCAGTACTTCACTATTGTCAAAGCATTTCCAATCTCTAATAATCCATTATACTTACCAGTTTGCCCAAAACGTTCTCTTAAATAACTCACATCACAATGTCTATTGGAAATTGCTGTGCTGTGCTGGTCTAGTTTCAGCTGAGGATGCTTCTTCCAGATGCAGGAAGGAGATGCAAATGAGAGAATGTTCCGGATGCTCCCAGCCAATCAGCTCAGTGGGGCCACACCCACTGTACGTGCAGCTCAGCACTCTAGACAGAGCCAGGAGGTATTTCCCACCCTCCCTCTCTGTATCAGAAAAGATAGTTCTTGACTGAGCTATGTATTTTTCGGCAAGCTGCACTGTATAGAATGAAGTAACAGGACAGAATATTCTCTTACTAAGTGAGCTTGTTCAGGATTTATTGGTATTGCAGATTGAAGCCAATCTATAATTTTCCATTAGGCAGAATGTTTTACATTAATTTTTGAAGGACTCATAGAAACAATATGTGATTAGATGTTACAGGTAAAGTATTTGTGGATAATTTTACAAGAAAGACAAAAAGCTAATAACCTGAAGAGATATAAGGAGAAGAGAGACAGAAAAAAAGGGGGGGATAGTTAGGATATATAAAGAAGTAAAAGATGAGTTTATGAAAAGTAATGTTGTTATGTAACTTTTATTTAAGGTTACTGTTAAATTAATCTGTGATAGTTTGTAAATACTAATCCTGAACAAATGAGAGCAAAGTTTAAATATTATTCACTCCATACTGGTAAGAGCAGATAATCAATATATTTAATTAATATTTATTATACACTGTTTGGTTATAGTAAGTTATGTGAATGAAATTATTGTGAAGATGTGGAATTACAGAAGTTTTTTTAATAGGTGGTTGACACTTATTAAGGAACTCATTAAGCAGTCGATTAAATAATATGTGAGGACTTCCAACCTTATTTATTACACTTGATGTGAAATTGCCCACATCTTTGTGGCATATAATTAAAAAAAGACCATAACAATTTTAATGACTCTAAATCCAATCAAAATAGATTTCAAAACAGAGCGGAAAGAGAAATAATTATTCCTTTTGCGTTTAGACGCTTAAAAAAAACAACCCAGTATTACTCTACCTAGGCTGTTTTCCCACCCCTTCAGAAAATAACTACATTTACCAGTGGTTTTGTGTGCATGCACACGCCAAACACAAATACACTCCCCGTCCGCTGACAGTTAAAATTCTAAGTTTGGCAAAACACAGACCAGTCAGAGGGGGACTGGAAAAACACGAGTAATGTTTAGGTAGTGCTTCTCTCTTTCTGTTTTATTACGGGGGGGGGGGATTTCTTATTATTGGACATTGGCTGTTCAGCTTTGCTACATGTACAGCCTGGACCAGACAAATAATTACCGATGCGCGAGAAGCAGGAAGGAGACCCCGATGCTTTCACATAATATTAGAAGACCACCATTACAGCGGTACGAAGACATAAATATATGAGGGGCCCTTGGTTTTTGCTGTGGGTAATGAAACGTCTGCAAGAAGACGACCAAGCTCAGAGAGCATCAAGGACCCCTCATTTCAACCCTGAGTCATACATATTCTTTTATCGGTAAAATAAATATATCTTAAATAAATGAATAACACTGCAGTAGGAAAAACCAGTAATTGATATCTCCCCAGGACCCTTCACTCATTCCGATTCCAAGACAAAAAAATAAAACGACGCTCACTCCGCCTTCCGGGATGGTGACGTCAGCCTTTTAAAAAAGCGGAGCGAAGAACCCAAAGTAGACTGGATTGGTCTGATTCTTTTCCTCCGCCTCCAAATTGAATGAACTCTTTCGAAGGCGGCGCATTGTGAGTCCGTGTTAAGATGATCGGAAGTTTTCTTACCTTGGCCGGAGAACGGGTTAAGTAGAATCCGGCAAGGCGTAGTTGTTTGCGCGTGCGTAGTCGGGCTGGTAGTCGTACGCGGGATTCTCCGCCGCGGCGGATCGTCGTGGATCATGAACGGATGGCCCGGGCTGAGGACGGACTGCGAGGCGTTGCTTACTCGGTTCCAGCAAGCCGAGAGCGTCCGCTTTGAAGATTTCGCTTTGCTCTGGAGGCAGAACCGTTTTCACACCATTTTTTAGTGAGTAACTGTTGGTTGTCACCCCTTCGTGGTTTCAGGTCCCTCGCTCCAGAAGAGAGAGAGAGAGAGAGCAGCTTTGGGGCGGTCCATCTGTGAGTCCTGGCCCTGTGGCAGGCTTGTGAAAAATTTATTTTGAACACGGCTGAATTCTCTCTACCTTCTCCCGCGCTTTTTCACTCCCCCCCCCCTCCGCCTTTGTGTTCTTATTCACTGTAGAAAAACATTTGGGAAATCTTCCTGCACTTTTTTTTATATAGTTTTAGTTGCACATTCTCTAGTCACTGAATATGCTGGTTAGAGATAAGAAAAGTTGTCAGGATGGAAAAGGTTATATGTTTGGAGCAGCCCTCCATTTAGATGCATTGGGATGCAACTTGGAGAACTTTCTGATATGATGGATGTTGGTTTGGCATTCTGGCAGTTTAGTCCTCTGCAGGTTTATTTTTTTCCATATTTCCACATTTTTTATTGTGTTAGTGTACATCTTAGAATAGAATAACAGAGTTGTAAGGGGCCTTGTAAGGTCATCAAGTCCAGAGGTCCCCAACCTTTTGGGCACCAGGAATTGGCTCTGTGGAGATAGGGTTTTCTGTGGACTGGAGGGTGCGTGGTTTTGTGTGCTGCCTGCATCCCATAGATGGGCTTCGCTTATTTATGCAGACCGGTTGCTGGCATGCCACGGACTGGTGCTGGTCCATGGACTGGGGGTTGGGGATCCCTGATCTAGTCCAACCCCCTCCCACCTAAGCAGGAGACCCTACACCAGGGGTCCCCAACCCCCCCCCCCCCGGTCCATGGACCAGTACCGGCCACAGCATGCCAGCAACCGGTCTGCACAAACAAGCAAAGCCCCATCTGCGGGATGCAGGCAGCACACAAACCCATGCCCCCTCTGGTCCGCAGAAAAACCTGTGTCCACGGAACTGATCCCTGGTGCCCAAAAGGTTGAGGACCTCTGCCCTACACCATTTCTGACAGATGGCAGTCCAGTGTCTTCTTGAAAGCCTCCAGTGATGAAACTCCCACTACATCTGGAGACAAACTGTTCCATTTGTTGATTGTCCTCACTGTCAAAATATTTCTCCTTATTTCCAGCTTGAATCTCTCCTTGATCACTTTCAATCTGTTATTACTTGTCTGGCCTTCAGGTGCTTTGAAAATAGGTTGACCCCCTCCTCTCTGTGACAGCCCCTCAAATATTGGAACACTGGTATCATGTCCTGATACAATTTGTTATTTTAATGGAATTATATTTATATACTTAAATTCTTAATATTCTATTATTTAGATATGTTAGAGTATTAAATATAGAAAACAGGAGAGAAAAGGTGGATAGTTTGGTTGCTGATTTGGTACAATAACTAAACAGGACAGATACAGACTATTTCTTATTCTATAAATGTTCCAGTTGTGAATGCAATAAACAAATGAATAACATTTACAGCAGAACTTGTGCAGATTTGATAGAAAAACAAATGGCACATTTCAATCTTTTCCCCTTGATGTAGATGGATAATTAATTTCTTCTGGGACTAAGATCTTACATTTTGGTTGAGGTTAATAAATATTGTGTTTTTTTATTTTTGTGTTGATCTTTTGTCTAGTGGTAAAATAAGGACGCCAGAGCAAATCAAGTTCACTAAAGAAGCTTTAGCCCTGGTATGGCCCTACTTTTTGCCTCCTTACACTTTACAGATCCGAGTTGGTGCTCTTTATCTTCTGTATGGTTTATACAACACACAACTATGTAAACCAAAACAAAAGGTAAAGTTAAACTGCTTTTAATTCATTGTCCAGTAATCTTATGCTGTAACTGATCTTCAGTATTGGGGAGTTGAAATTTTATTTACTATAAAAGGTATGAAGGTGAATGGTAAACAGTGACCTAGTAAATAGTATGCTCTGATTTTTTTTTATCTCAGAGCGGTCTGTGTTATATAGGGTTAAAAATGGGCTTCTTTACAGGACTGTTAAAGAGTGGCAATATACATTAAACATATTAGATAAACTTAAAAAGCAGCATGTAGAATTGTGTACATATAAACTATCATTAATTTAAAAAGTATTGAGATACTTTAGAGCTGTTACTGTTACTGGGATAGCAAACCACCCGAGGCCATAGGCTAGTGTATGAGATTGTTTAAAAATCCCATAACAAGGCATTGCAAATTACTTCTGTGTGGTTGCCAAGAAAATAACATGGATGTGTTTATGTAATCGTCAGGAGTCAAACTCAAGGGAGATTTTTTTTTCTTTTAACCTGAAAACTATCATGTAATAATGAAATCTAGAAATAATTTTCTATCGCCTACTGTTAAATATTCTGGGAATTAATTGTAAGAAGGCCATGTAAACCCTCACTCCCTGCCTTCTGAATAAACTATAAAGCACTCCAGTTTCTTGCTTCAGTTAGAGCTAGGTGATTTAGATATCCAATTGTGCTGACATCCTTTGTAATATCCATTTAGTTAGCCACATAGGCTATTTAATTATTTCACACTTCAGGGTATGCTGCTGACTTGTTTGAAGACACTTTTGTTTGTTTTGCATTTCAGATTAGGGTTGCACTTAAAGATTGGGCTGAAGTCAGTAAATTCAAGCAGGAACTTTTAGATGCACAGTACTATGATGCAGCATATATCTTCAGGAACCTTCGGATGGACAAAGCATTCTATTTCACAGCAATGCCCAAATTTGTGAGTTATTAAAACCATATCAACAGAAGTACCCACTGTACCCTCTCTCTTTTCTGGCTGAATGGGTGGTCTTCTTATCATTCAGCTAGCAAAGTTGTGTTTGTTTCAGTATGGTATCCTACTTCCTATTCTCTATCCCAGTGATGGCGAACCTTTTAGAGACCGAGTGCCCAAACTGCAACCCCAAACCCATTTATGTATCGCCGGGTGCTGGGTGGGTGTGGCCTACTCGGCGGGTGCAGCTACAATGGGCTTGGCAGACTGGTTGGGCGTGGCCACTGGATGGGTGTGGCTGCAGTAGTCATGGCAGATTGGGTGGGCATGGCCAGGCGTGGCCACCCTGATGTTGCTTATGGGGAGGGACACCTGTCAGGGTTGGGCAGGGGTGGGGGAGATCCAGGGGGTCTCTGGCAGTTGGGATGGTGGGGTCCCAATGGCGGCTCCAGGCTGGCTGGCCTTAGGCCAATGATGGCAAACTTTTAGAGACCACATGTGCTGGAGCGCCGGCGTATGCCCACAGAGAGGGCTACGCGTGCTGCTTCTGGCACGCATGCCATAGGTTCGCCACCACTGCTCTATCCTGAAATATCCAAGCATCACAGGAGAATGAGAAAAATGCAGATTTTCTAGCACATATCCTGTTTTCTTTCTGATAGAAATGTTTCTTCAGTTAATATATTAGAAAGCTTGAACTGACAAGCTGTTTTAGAATGCTTGTTGTTTCCACAGTGATTGGCTTTTCTCATAATCCTCAATTTTGTTTGCTGCAAAACTGAACCTAAATATTCGGTGCTCTGTTGGTGAGATCTAATTCTGATAGAAAAATCTTCTATGGTTCTTTGGATTATATGTAATTGTAACAGATTTTGGATGTTGCTTCGAATGTGATCATTTTTCTTGGCTCCACTTGATTTTCTCCTCTTTAAGAAGCTCCTTGGTTGATGCTGGTATTTGTTGAGAGTTACTGCTATTGTGGCATAAACAGAGCCTGAAATTTCAATTAATGCATGCTGGGTGATTCAGATACATGCTTTTGTTTTTTTTTTTTTGATTCTGATATGACTGTCTCTTTCTTAGCTCTCATTTAGGACTAAAAAGAACATGCATGAAAATACTGAGATGAAGAGGGAATTCATAGATCCTACTGATCGTGTTGCCATGCTTTGCCATGAAAATTTCTTGGAGGTATACTTAACACCTTGCTCTAATATGATAATTTTTGGCTTATGTCCTGTTCAGGATCACTGTAACAATGTTATCTATATTCAACATTACAGAGAAACGTAACATTTTTTAAAAAAAACCTTATAATCTGAGTATCTTCCTGTGAATGTAATCCAGAGTTTGTATGGATTATATCTGGTGCTTGACCCTCAAGTTGTTTGCTGAAATCCAAGGCCAGGCCCCTTTTACAAACTACCTGAATTTTGAGAGATCTCCAACGCCATATGATCTCCCCCAGGAGATCAAAAGTTAAAGAACATAAAAACAAAGGAGATCCCTTTTTATATAAAAAGATATTAAAATCACTTTTAATTTCTAAAGGCACATTCATAACCTGTACCTTTTGGTTAACAAGTTCTTTACTAACAATTCTGTGATCTGACACAGATCCAAATCTTTAACTTAGTCTTACCAGCATATATTTCCAATATGAATGCAGAACTGATTATGTTTTCTGTTTGGATGAAACATTAAGAGCAGGAAGTACAAAATATGACAACAGTCTCAATTTTTACTGATGGAGTTATTAAGAAATTTTGTTTTTTATTTGCTTTACTTATAAGGAAACAAAAAATATTCATGAGCACTACCAAAGAATGAAATGTCTGATCTCTAAGGACAAAAGTCAGCCAGATAAGACTATCAGTTTGATTAAAGATGACTTTATAACCAAGTTCCAAGATACCATTCTGGATTATCAACAGTGGCAGAAAAAGAAAATGGTATATAATTTCATTTTTCTTTATAAATTGGTGTGTAAATAGGTTTAAATACAGAAGGATAACAGTGGATGTTATCTAACAAAATGACATTCAATGGTGAAAAAAGTCAGGTTCTACATTTAGGCAAGAAAAACCAAATGCACAGGTACTGTGTCTTCGAGGTCTCTCTGAAAGATTTTGAAATAGATGCAACTCAAAACTGTTAATATTTAAAGACTTGTTGCAAAGACATGTTGAAAGAGGCAGACATAATCTTGCTTCATGAGGAAAGAAATTTCTGGTGGATGATGTTGGAACTAGTTTTCCATTTAAATGGAGTAGCAGTTCGCTAGCTTTTTGAGCACATGCATGTGTCCTGTTGTGATATTGCTGGGAGAGGAAAGTCACATTTCATCTGTATGATGATTTGGCTGTACAAATCTGATGTGTTTCTAATGCATTCTGGAATCTAAATAGTATTTACATTTTTTCAGGAATCGCCCTTATCTACTGTGGGTGACGAAATGAGGAATAGAAAAGAAGGTTGTTCCCAAGAGTCTGAAGTAAGCAAATCATCTTCATCATGGTGGAATACTTAATTTCTTTATAGGAATTCCTAGTAGGATATAATTATAAAAGTCCCTTGCAGTCATTTCTAATTCAGTTCTTTAGTACAGAACCAAAAATACAAGAAGAGATGGGTGGGTGGGGTGAGGATGGATTATCACTGGATTACTATCCTTGTTGCCCCCAGAGCTGAGTTGATATTTGAAACAGCAATTTATTTACAAAGAAAAATGATACATTTCTACCATTTATTTCAAATTTTTGTGCATGATATTAATTGTTGAAACATTAGAAGTCAAGAAAGAAAAAAGGTAGTGCAAATTGTATTGGCAATCTTCTCTTTTCAGGGATCTGGCAGAGCTAAAACATTAGCTGACATCAAAGCCAGATCATATTCTTCAGTTGCTCAGGTAAGTAAGTAAAGGCTGGTTTTTTTTGAGGGGGGGGGTTATGTCTTTGACTCCCAGTGACACCCTGGACATATCCCGGTAGTTTTCTTTGCAAGTCCCAGAGGTGCTTTTTCACGAGGCAATTGGACTTTTTTACTCTTTGAAGACGTTTTGCTTCTCGTCCAAGCAGCTTCTTCAGCTCTGACTGGATGGTGGGGATTGGAAGGATTTATATTCTTTGCAGACAGCTGGTCATTTGCATTCTTCAAGAGTCGTTGATGCCACCTGGAGGCTTATCTGTGTCATCAGGGTCACCTCAGTAGTGCAAATGGGTATGGAGCCTTCTTGGAACTGTTGAAAGGACTGTGTTGTAGACTGAAGATAGATGATGTCGTATTCCTCCCCCTCTGCTGAGAGAAAGCTGTTCCAGTTTTGACATAGATGGCCTCTTTGACCCCTCTTTCAAACCAACGGTCCTCTCTTCCCAAAATGTGGACTTTGCTGTCTTTGAAAGAGTGGCCTTTGTTTTTTAAATGCAGATGGACTGCTGAATCTTGTCCTGATGGGTTCGTTCTCCTATGTTGTGCCATACATTTATGAAGTTGTTGTTTCGTTTCCCTCGTGGTACTGCATATACCACATTGCTCAGTTTTGTATCTGGGTGTTTTGTCCTTGGGGTGGACAAGCTTCTGCTTTAGTATATTCTTGGGTCTGAAGTGTATACATATGTTGTGTTGGCTGAAGATCCTTTTGAGCTTTTCCAATATTGCTGCAGTGTATGGAATGACAATGTTGTTTCATTTGTTTCTTCTTTGTTATGGAGGGGCTCCTGCTGAGTTTTTTTTGGATTTGATGAAGGCCCACTTGGGATAGCCGCAAGTTCTGAGGGCTTCCTTGATGTGTTTTAGTTCTTTTTCTTCCTCATCTTTGCTGGTAGGCAGGCCTTCAGGTCGGTGTTGTAGGTTTCTGATAACTCCCATTTTGTGCTCCAGTGGGTGGTGAGAATCAAAATGAAAATATTGATATATGTGTGAGCGGTTTCTGTAAATTTCAATGTTAAGGCTTCTATCTAATAATAATAATAATAATAATAATAATAATAATAATAATAATAATAATAATAGTAATAATAATAAAGTTGGAAGGGACCTTGGAGGTCATCTAGTCCAACCCCCTGCTCAGGCAGGTAACCCTATACTATTTCAGACAAATGGCTGTCCAGTCTCTTCTTAAAACTTCCATTGTTGGAGCATTCACCGCTTCTGGAGGCAGGTTGTTCCACTGGTTAATTGTTCTAACTGTCAGGAAGTTTCTCCTTAGTTCTAGGTTGCTTCTCTCCTTGATTAATTTCCATCCGTTGCTTCTTGTCCTGTCTTCAGGTGCTTTGGAGAATAGCTTGACTCCCTCTTCTTTGTGGCAGTCCCTAAGATATTGGAACACTGCTATCATGTCCCCCCTCTTCATTAAACTAGACATACCCAATTCCAGCAGCTGTTCCTTATATGCTTTAGCCTCCAGTCCCCTAATCATCTTTGTTGCTCTTCTCTGTACTCATTCTAGAGCAGCGGTTCTCAACCTGTGGGTCGCGATCCTTTTGGGGGTCGAATGACGCTTTCATAGGGGTCACCTAAGACCATCGGAAAACACATATTTCTGATGGTCTTAGAACTGAGACACTGCTCCTCTATCCGGCCGCCGCCGCTCTCCTTCTCTGCGGCTCCTCTGCCTCCAGGGCGCCCTTCAACAGTGCCTACTCCTGCCGCTGCAGTGCCATCGCGCGTGCCCACGACGCTGCCCCGGGCCGGCTTAGCTGTGTGGGCGACCAGGCTGAGCCAAGCCGGCCCAGGGCGGCGTCGGGAGCAGGCGCTGTTGGAGCGGAAGGGCACCCTGGAGGCAGAGGAGCTGGCGGAGAAGGAGGAGGGCAGTAGCGGTGGCCGCTGCTGGCGCTGCCGCTGGGCTGCTCCTCCACTGCTGCTGGCTGAGCTGAGCTGCGGCGCTGAGCCGGTCCCCACGCCTCCTGGTTGCCCGGCCACACTCCGCCCCGGCAGCCCGCTGCGCCAGAGCTTCCCCCGCACCGCCTGGTCCGCCTCCCTCACCGTCGGAGGCCGCCTCGGCCCTCTGGTGCCCGGCATTGGGGCTGGCGGACAGGAGCGGCTTCTTCCCGGCTCGCCGGGCTCCGGGCCTCGGAAATGGCCAGGCGGCAGGGAAGAGGGCGAGGCAGCAGTGATGTCCGCATGTGCATCGGAGGCCAGCTGTCCAGGCTGGACAGGAAGGAAGGAAGGAAGTGCGATGAGTCGGGGAAGGATTGTGGCAGTGAAGGGCTGCGCAGCATGGAAAGGGGCTCCCACGACCCCGCCGCTGCGATGGCACTCAGGAGGCTGGAGGCGCGGGCAGGTCCGGGTGGGGGCGGTTGGGAGAGGGCAAGAAATGCCAGGATGAGGATGGGGAGGCGGGCGTGAGGGCGGACTGCGGCTCCGAGGTGTGCGGATCCTCCGCGCGGCTTCCGAGGCCCCGAAGGTGCCATGCTTGGCTCTCAGCCAGACTACCAGCAGCCCTACGAGCAGCCCTAAAAAGCACTGTGGAAGAGTGGGGAATGCTGGGAGTTGCAATTCATCATCATCTGGGAAAACATGACTCTCCAAAGATCAATCCTTCCTTCCCTCCTTCCTTCCTTCTATCCATCTCCTTCCCTTCCCCTTCAGTCTTCCTTCCTTCCTTCCTTCCTTCCATCTCCATCCCTTCCCCTTCAATCTCTCTCCTTCCTTCCTTCCTTCCTTCCTTCCTTCCTTCCTTCCTTCCTTCCTTCCTTCCTTCCTTCCCCCTTCAATCTCCTTCCTTCTCCATCTCCTTCCTTTCCCCTTCAATCTCTCTCTTTCCTTCCTTCCTTCCTTCCTTCCTTCTCCATCCCTTCCCCTTCAATCTCTCTCCTTCCTTCCTTCCTTCCTTCCTTCCTTCCTTCCTTCCTTCCTTCCTTCCTTCCTTCCTTCCTTCCTTCCATTTCCATCCCTTCCCCTTCAATCTCTCTCTCCTTCCTTCCTTCCCCCTTCAATCTCCTTCCTTCTCCATCTCCTTCCTTTCCCCTTCAATCTTCCTTCCTTCCTTCCTTCCTTCCTTCCTTCCTTTCCCCTTCAATCCTCCTTCCTTCCTTCCCCTTCCCTCCCTCCCAACATTTTTGAGCAAGGAAGAGTAAGCTTCTCCAGCCAGCATTGCTATATTGTTTTTGTGATTAATCACTATGCTTTAATTATGTTCAATTCGTAACAATGAAAATACATCCTGCATATCAGATATTTACATTACGATTCATAACAGTAGCAAAATTACAGTTATGAAGTAGCAACGAAAATAATTTTATGGTTGGGGGTCACCACAACATGAGGAACTGTATTAAAGGGTCGCGGCATTAGGAAGGTTGAGAACCACTGTTTTAGAGTCTCAACATCTTCTTTACCTCGCGGTGACCAAAACTGGATGCAGTATTCCAAGTGTGGCCTTAGCAAGGCATTGTAAAGTGGTATTAATATTTCACGTGATCTTGATTCTATCCCTCTGTTAATGCAGCCTAGCACTGTGTTGGCCTTTTTGGCAGCTGCAGCACACTGCTGGCTCATATTTAAGTGATTGTCCACTAGGACTCCGAGGTCCCTCTCACAATTACTACTATTGAGCAAGGTACCCCCTATACCAGTGGTGGCGAACCTATGGCATGGGTGCCAGAGGCGGCACTCAGAGCCCTCTCTGTGGGCACATGTGTCGTCGCCCAAGTCCTAGGCCTTCAGCTGGGTTTTATAAAACCTTTTCGTTTTAGGCCTCTGCTGCCGTGTGCAAAAAAAAAAAAAAAGGTTCTATCAATCAGTCAATTTCAACTTCTCGCGGGAAAAAAAAAGATCTTGCAAAGTTGGAAATGATTGAACTTTTTAGTCACACCCAGTCTGCCATTACCACCGCAGCCATGCCCACCCAATGGGCCACCCCCCCCAATTGGCCACACCCAGCCAATGGGCCACACTCACCTGGCACCCGACGATGCATAAGTGGGTTTTGGGTTGCAGTTTGGGCACTCGGTCTCTAAAAGGTTCGCCATCACTGCCCTATACTATACCTGTACATTTGGTTTTTCTTGCCTAAATGTAGAACCTTATTTTTTTCATCATTAAATTTCATGTTGTTAGATAGTGCCCAGTGTTCAAGTCTGTCCAGATCCTTCTGTATCTTAATCCTGTCTTCTGGAGTGTTGGCTATTCCTGCCAGCTTGGTGTCGTCTGCAAATTTGATGATTTCCCCATCTATCCCCTCGTCCAAATCGTTGATGAAGATGTTGAAGAGCACTGGGCCAAGAACAAAGCCCTGGGGCACCCCACTACACACTTCCCTCCATATAGATGCAGTTCCATTGAGGACCACTACGGCCGGTCAGCCAGCTACGGCTCCATCTGGTGGTGATTCTGTCTACCCCACATTTTTCTATCTTATCAAGTAGTAGGTTGTGATCTACTTTATCAAATGCTTTACTGAAGTCCAAGTAAATTATATCCACAGCATTCCTCTGATCCACTAATTTTTTCAAATTGATCAAAGAATGCAATAAGATTTGTCTGGCATGATCTGTTTTTGACAAACCCATGTTGGCTTTTAGTAATGACTTTATTTGCCTCTAGCTGTTCGTTGATTCGTTGTTTGATTATCTTTTCCAGAATCTTCCCAGGTATTGAGGTCAGGCTGATAGGTCTGTAATTTCCTGGGTTCATTTTTTTTCCTTTTTTGAAGATGGAAACTACATCAGCTCTTTTCCAGTCCTCTGGTAGTTCCTCAGTGCTCCAGGATCTTTGAAAAATATAGTTCAGTGGTTCTGAGATCATATCTGCCAGTTCCTTGAGAATCCTGGGGTGTAATCCATCTGGTCCTGGTGATTTGAACTTGTCTAGGCTGGACAGGTGCTCACCTACCCTTTTCTTGCCTATCTTAACTTGTATTTCTATTCTGTTTTTTTTTATGGCACTATTTTTGGTAGGTTGGTCTGTTTTTTCCCTTTGTGTAAAGGCAGATGGAAAAAATGAGTTAAATAGTTTTGCTTTCTCCCTGTTGCTTGTCATCTTGCCACTTTCACCCACTAATGGACCAATCATTTCCTTCACTTTTTTCTTGTTTTTTACATGTTGAAAGAAGCTTTTTTTGTTATTTTTTACTTTGGTCGCAAGCCTTAGTTCATTTTGAGCCTTAGCTTAACTTCATCTTTGCAGGCTCGGGCTATTTGCTGATATTCTGACTTAGTTATGTGCCCCTCTTTCCACTTTCTATACTTGTCCTTTTTATCTTTCAATTTACCAGAATCTTTATGTAGCCATGCTGGTTTCTTTTGAAAGCTGTTATTTTTCTTCTTTGTTGGTATTGTGCCAGACTGGGCTTTTATTATCTCACTTTTCAAAATTTCCTAAGCTTCTTGAGTTGTTTTCCCTTTGAGGATGGAATCCTTCCCAAGCCTCTCTAAGTTTATTGAAATTAGCTCTCTTAAAGTCCAAGACTCTAGTTTGACTGTGTTCTATTGCTTGTGCTTCCATAATGTTGAATTCCAATATTGTATGATCATTTCCTCTCAAGGTTCTTGTGGCTTCAACACCTTCTATCATTTCATCTGTGTTAGTGAGAATTAGATCCAAAATGGCTAATTCCCTAGTTTCCTTCTCTACTTTTTGGGAGACAAAGTTGTTTGCTAGGTTTGCAAGGAATCTGTTTGATTTTCCATTTGGTGCAGAGTTTGTCTCCCAGTTGATGTCAGGGTAGTTAAAGTCCACCATTACTATTGTGATGTGCTTCCTACATACCTTAGTTAGCTGACTAGCAAAAAGTTCATCTATTTCCTCTGTTTGGTTGGGTGGCCTGTAGTATATACCTATGGCAATGTCATTTTTTCCCCTTTTACATACATCTTAATGTATATTGCACAGTCCAGGAAAGCTAGACTATTTTCCTTAACATCTTCACGTGTGAATTTGATGTATCTATCCACCAAGTTGATATGTTTGGTGAATGCTTCCAATTCCTGTGTTTTGATCTTGACCCAAGTATCATCCACATACCTATACCAGTGAGTGGGTAAATTCCTGTGAAGGCTTTGGTTTCTACTTCGTCAATGTAGAGATTGGCTACAATGGGGGACAGAGGTGAACCCATGGTGCAGCCGTGTTTTTGTCTATAAAACCCTTCACTGTATTTAAAATAGAGAGTGGTCAGGGAGAGGTCCAGCATGGCACATATGTGGTCTGGGCTGAGGTTGGTTCTGTCACTTAAAGTGTGGTTTTGTATCAGTCGTTTCTTCACTACTGTGACAACTTCAGTTGTTGGAATGCAAGTGAAGAGGGAAGTCACATCATAGGAAACCATGGCCTCAATTGGTCCAGTTTAAATTTCAAAACCTTGCTGGTGAAGTCGTGTGAACTGTTGATGTAATGGGTGGTGTTGCCAATTAACAGAGCTAATAAAATTGAACAGCCTTTTCTCAGCAGAGGGGGAGAAGTACTACATTATCTATCTTCAGTCTACAACACAGTCCTTTCAACAGTTCCAAGAAGGCTCCACACTCATTTGCACTACTCAGGTGACCCTGATGACACAGATAAGCCTCCAGGTGACATCAACGACTCTCTTAAAGAATGCAAATGACCAGCTGCTGCAAGGAATATAAATCCTTCCATTCCCCACCATCCAGTCAGGGCTGAAGAAGCTGCTTGGACAAGAAGCAAAATGTCTTCAAAGAGAAAAAAAGAAAGTCCAGTTGCCTCATGAAAAAGCACCTTTGAGAAAACTATGACCTGGATGACTGAGAATCTCCATAGACATTTTCTTTGCAAGGTTTTTTTGGGAGTGGTTTTCCATTGCTTTCTTCCTATGGCTAAGAGGAAATGACTGGCCTAAGGTCACCCTGTTGTCTTTGTGCCTAAGACAGAACTAGAATACATGGTGTCCCACTTTCTAGTTTTATGTTTTAACCACTACACTACACTGGCTCTCTTAAAGGTCATAATTATCTGAACATAAGTACTGAACTTAATTTCAGTGTGTCTGTAAGAAAAGCATTTTGAAACAGTTAAACAAATTAGTGCTAAACAAGATGTCCTGCTGCTAAGTAGAATCTGCTTATGTAACATTGGACATAACCCTTAACATGCTTTTTTGGTATGTAAAGATAAAGTTGGCAACATACAATTTCTTTTAACAGCTTAATCCTGACTTAATGACTGCCATGACTTACAACTGTAATTCCAGGCTCAATTACAGATGTATGTTGAGGACTGCCTGTAGCCATGGAGAGAAGAGGCAGCAAACCACTTCATTCCATGGTTTTATTTAAGAAGTTTATATGGCTGCCCAATTCACTATCAGTAACTCCTGATGGTTTACAAAGATAAAAGTCCAATATAAAAATAATAACTATCAATATCCCTGCACAACAACAATCAGTCAATCAACTAAGCCGCTTGATGGGTTCCATCCCACTCTGGGGTCCAGCTCTTTAGGACCTTGCAAAAGTGTGTTAGAGTGGGAGCCAATCTTATTTCCATGGGATGATGTTCCACAGGGAGGGAGCCACCAGGGAGAAGGCCCTCCTTGGTCCTGTGAGATCAGTGGTTCTCAACATTTTTAATGCCGCGACCCCCAACCGGTCGTAAGTTGAGGACTACTCAACCGGTCGTAAGTCGAGGACTACTCAACTGGTGCAGCACCGTTGCAGAGTAGGACTTTTGGCAGGCTCAGCAGGGCAGAGACAGCCTGGACAATTCCTATTGGCTTTTGAAAGCCAATAGAATTAGACTATTCAAGAGAGTCTATTCTATTGGCTTTCAAAAGCTAATAGAATAAAAGGGAGTAGCACAGCTAAGGAAAAGAGGGAAAAAATGGCGGACTGCGTTGTTTGGCGACCCCCCGTGAAATGGTCGTTCGACCCCAAATGGTTAAGAACCACTGTGTTAGATGAACTTCCTTAGGAAAGATGACCCGTAGTATTCCCTGCCTCCCTGCTCTGGTGGTTGAGGAGAAGTTTCCTCTTTGAAACTGAAATTTTTCCCATCTTTCCTGGAAACAGTACCATAACAATACACAAGCTTGTATTCCCAATTGCAGATAGCAGAGCCTAATAGTAGAATGGATTTTTTCTCATTGGTGCACTTTTAAACCTACCTACGCCATATGACTTAGTTTTGGATATAATTTGTGTTGTAAAGATGCTCTTGATGAACATAGCATAGGATCAGTTTACAATATAGTGGCAGAATTAAATATCTTATGTAAATTCATTGGAGCACATCTTTCTCTTTCAGAGCAATATTAATCTGTTTTCATTGCTTGGATATTTATTTTTTGTTGCACTTTCTTTGGCTGAAAATCCATTTAGGCTTCAAAGTCCAGACGACATCGCCAAGTTAAGCTGGAATCTTCTGAATTGGGATCAAATCGTGGGAAAACCAGACTGCCTATGGATAGAAGGGTTAGGAAATGTTTACCAACAGCAAAGAAGGCAGAGCATCTGCAAAACAGAGGTAATTAGCATAGTAGGATTAATCTGTGGAAATCTTTTATTTATTTTTTACAATGCCCCTGGTGTATAGGTCCCTCTAATGTGATGGACCACTCTACATTGTGAATGTTGTACCATAACACAAGAGATGTAAATATTTGATAATAAAGGTGGGTGGTAAATAAATAAAAATAAATATGTGTCCTTCCTGAGCCTTTCATTGTGCTTGTCACTTTTACATGTATTATTCATGAATGTTCTTTCTTGTCTTATAAATCAATCTGCCAGTAGTGTGTGTGTGTTTGTATCTTATTTTATAACAGTCCCATAACTGATGAAAAGGTCTGATGAAAGACAATCAGTTCATCTGTAAATCATTGTAACAGTCTTGTGTCCCGTGGGAAGGATTTTGCAATTGTGATATAAGAAGAATTTAACCCAAGGGTTCTCAGGTCCCAAGCAGGACAATACAAAGGGAGATCCTTCTTCAAGTAATCAGGTTGTAACTTATTTAAGCATATGAGTTGGCTCTATGACAAATAGACATCCTGTATAGACCTCCAACGTTAATTATTATCTGATAACTTCCTGGTTGCATTTTGTTCTATCCACAATCCCCAGATTATCTTTTGGGAAATCCCATGTAAAATGGATTGCAGATAGTCCTTGAGTTAGGACCATAATTGAGCCTGGCAATTATGGTTGTAAAGCATGTGACTGTATGACCAGACCCATTTTATGACCTTTTTTGTGGCAATTGTCAAGTGAATCTATTTTTTTGCTATGGGCCTTTTTTTTTTTGCCAGAAACCAATAGTAAATGTCAGTTTCTGGCAAAATGTGACTGTGGAGTGCTGCAAATGACTATAAATACGGACCGGTTGCTGAGCACCCAAAATATGATTACTTGACAACAGGAGAGGTTGACATTGGAATTTTGAAAATGGATCATAAGTTCCTTTTGAGGGGTCCATTGGAATTCTGAACAGTCACTAGCAACCATTGTTAAATAAAGGACTAGGTAATAATAATAATGATGATAATGATGATAAAATTGGAAGGGATCTTGGAGGTCATCTAGTCCAACCCCCTGCTCAGGCAGGAAACCCTATACCATTTCAGACAAATGGCTGTCCAGTCTCTTCTTAAAAACTCCCAATGTTGGAGCATTCACCGCTTCTAGAGGCAGGTTGTTCCACTGGTTAATTGTTCTAACTGTCAAGAAGTTTCTCCTTAGTTCTAGGTTCCTTCTCTCCTTGATTAGTTTCCATCCGTTGCTTCTTGTCCTGCCTTCAGGCACTTTGGAAAATAGCTTGACTCCCTCTTCTTTGTGGCAGCCCCTGAGATATTGGAATACTGCTATCATGTCCCCCTTCATCCTTCTCTTCACTAAAGTAGACATACCGAATTCCAGCAACCGTTCCTTATATGTACTACCCGTACATAGTTCAGTGCACTCCCTAAAGTATTACAGGAGCACTCTTTGTTATGGGAAAATTTTCTTGTTTTCTTTTAGGGGGATGTAATGGCTGCTTAAACCATTAATCCAGAAGATAGATTGAATCTATATAAGTTACTCAATAGCAGTTTATAGATATGAATTGTGATCCTTTGTAACTACAGTTGAATGTATTATCTGGGTTCAGGTGACACAGTAAACCAAGCCATTTAGTGTGTTGTGCAAACTCAATATCCTTGCCATGGGGTTTTAGATTCTTGTTCTGGACATATGGGAAGGAAATTGTGGATATTTGCATACTAGTATGGCTATCATTTATGTATTTTTTTGAATGCAAAGATGGAACATACATGCTATGAGATAAACCAGAATAACCTTTCTGACTCAGCTGCTGATCTTCAGAAGTTAACTAAAGGCATAGTCTGTATGTAGCTTGTGAAAGTTGTCTGTCTAGATTAGAAGGCCTTTCATATTTGAGTGCTATAGAAATATTGAGCGCTTCTAGAAATATTATAATTATTTTTGCAATTAATTGTTACTACAGATGTTGTATTCACCTATAAATATTATTGTATTTTATAATTGTTATAATAGCTGTTGCTTTTGTATATTGCATAGAGTTGGTAACTGAGGTGGTTAAAAAAAACATAAATATGTATCTTTCAAAAGAACCAAAAATTTCAAGCACCCTTGCTTGACTGTACCCTAACTGTTTAATATCACTGGATAAATTCCTGCAGCTTTTGGAAATTTGGAGGCTGAATTATGGCTACCAGTTCCTCAAATGTTGCTTGTTCCATGTAAGGGTATCCTATAAGATTGGCTATCAAAAATATAATTTAATTTCAGTAGAGCTGAAATGAAAATTTCTTTTTAATTTTTTTTTCTTGCAGGAAGATTGCTAGTGACCACACAGGAAAATACTGAGAGACTAAATATGCCTGTGATTGGAGATGATGATGGTGATGAAGAACAAGAAAATGATCACTCAAGTGATGAAGGTATGTTGTAGTACACTTCTGCACAACAGCTCTGACAAAAAAGGGATGTCTGCTAAAATCATTCCTCTTCACCATTCTTAGCTACCTCCTACACAAGCAGATACAAGAATAGTCCTCACTTAGGTGCCACTTCTCTCTTCCATTTGAGAAGTTCCCCTTTCAAACATTACACTGGAGAAGAACATTCACCTGTTGAACTATACACTTTCTTCATACATAAGGAATGTACTTCGTCAGTTATTCAATAACTCAGTGCCAGTCCATGGTTTGGGAGCTGGGAACCTCTGAGATAGGCAATATTTATAGACCATTCAAAAGAGCTAATGAAAAAGCTAAAAGCAAACAAAAAAGACCAGAACATCTCCTTGTCAACATTCAACACCCAGATACACAGGATTTTGATCCAGACCAACACCAGACAATCAAGCAGTAAACAATATCCTGATCAAGGGTAAAAGAGAAACCAAAGAGAAAGCAAATAGCTGGCCTAGACTAATCACAGAAACCTAAGCAGGATCAGATTGGTTAATTTCTAGAAAGAGATCACTAAGAGATCATATATTGTTTTGAGGAGAAATGGAGTCAAGATTTGGAGTCTATTTTTTCTTTTATTTCAAAGATCCCAAACCCTATAGTTCTGAACACAGTTGTTAGGGAATTGCTAGGGCGTACAGGTAATTTTTTATTGCATTGATTCAGAATGAGTTTATATACAGCTATACAAGTAATCATTTGGTTTCCTCCCCCCCCAACACATGAAATATCTACTATTACATTTACTAATGCATATGAGAAAATCAGCAGTTTATGTTGATTGAAAATAGTTGTCATTGGTCATATATTTCTTTAAAAAATATTGGAAAATAGAGTTTGAATATAGAATTATTTTTGTTCATAGCTATAAGCGAATTCATTGGATGATGATTGTGTTTCTTATATTTTCAGATTTCATACCCACAAAGAGGAAAAGGACTCATTAAAAGTGCATCATAAGGGAAATGCTGATAACGTAAATCATCTGTGTGAATGAACAGTGTTTCCCAGCCAGGGATGAAGCAATGCTAAGTGGACACTGTTGTTAAAGTTAAGCAGAAAAGACATTCTATAAATGCTGATAAGCATTGCATATAATTTACTTCGTAGAAGATAATGGATTCTTTATTCATATTTAAAATAGATTTTGGTAAAAGCTTGTTTCATTTTAAAAGGTCTTTAGCCACATTAATTGCATGGAAAAAGAAACTCTTGTACTGTAACAGATTTGTAAATGCAGTGCATGTGTATAGTTCAGTGTTTTATGTACCTATATTATTCCTGCTTCCGTTAGTTTATTTATAATTTCGATAGCTAAGTTATTGTTAGGAGAAGTTGAAAAGAAATAACATTCTGATCAATTGGGGGAGTTAACATTTTTATCCTGTTGAAGGTTATGAATTGCATCTCTGCTTCTTTTTCTACAAAACTCTCTGGACTGAACTATTATGAGACTAAAAGATGAAAATGTAATGTGAATCTAGATTTGTGTCACAAAGGAGAAGGTAGAACACCAGCTTAAACTAAGGGTTGAAATTTACAGACAGGCTGTGATGTGTTATAACAGTGGTTCTCAAACTTTCTAATGCCGTGACCCCATAATACAGTTCCCCATGTTGTGGTGACCCCCAACCACTTATACATCACCGGGTGCCAGGGGCGTGGCCAAAGAAAAGGGGGAAAAAATGGCGGAGAGCCTTATTTGGCGACCCCCATGAAATGGTTGCTTGACCCCAAATGGGGTCCCGACCCACAGGTTGAGAACCACTGTGTTATAAGAAGTTGAAATAAGTCATGCTTTTGTACTGGCTTGTTTCAGTATTATTTTAATAACAGTAAAACACAATGCAAACTAAATTCAGAAATTAAAAATAATAATGAATAAAAGTGCAAAGAAAAAGAAAGGAAGAATAAAAAAACACTTAAGTGATTTCTGATCTTCATCACAAAAATGTAGAAACAAATTTAATAATTCTTCACTCGCACAAGGTTATATGCAAACACCTTTTCTTCCCACATCCCTTATGTACACACAAATCCATAAATCATTAACATTTCAATCTTGGTGTCAGGAAAAAATCCCTAAATGATTTTTTAATGTGGCATCATCTTTTTGTTAATGTGTTAATACCACTTTACAATGCCTCCGTAAGGCCACGGTTGGAATACTGCATCCAGTTTTCGTTACCACGATGTAAAAAAGATGTTGAGACTCTAGAAAGAGTACAGAGAAGAGCAACAAAGATGATCAGGGGACTGGAGGCTAAAGCATATAAGGAACGGTTGCTGGGTATGTCTAGTTTTAACGAAGAGAAGGACGAGGAGGGACATGATAGCAGTGCTCCAATATCTCAGGGGCTGCCACAAAGAAGAGGGAGTCAAGCTATTCTCCAAAGCACCTGAAGGCAAGACAAGAAGCAACGGGTGGAAACTAACCAAGGAGAGAAGCAACCTAGAACTAAGGAGAAATTTCCTGACAGAACAATTAATCAGTGGAACAACCTGCCTCCAGAAGCTGTGAATGCTCCAGTACTGGAAGTCTTAAAGAAGAGGTTGGTCAGCCATTTGTCTGAAATGATATAGGGCTTCCTGACTGAGCAGGGGGTTGGACTAGAAGACCTCAAAGGTCCCTTCCAACAATTTTTTAACTTTAGTCAAATCATCTTTGTACTCTTTTCTTTTCACTTCTAACCACCTTAGTCTTTATTTCATTGTAGGATTGTTGGAATATTTGATCTCTCTTTAAATTTTCCCATCTCAAAGGCTTCAAGGCTTTAGATCTTCCAGGGTATTGTCTTTCCCATCTGTCATTTGTTCTTTAACATCTTTGAAAAATTATATATTTATAGAAGCAGACTTCGCTGACATTGTAGGTGCTATTTTTTGACTCCATTTTTCAAAGATTCCTAAAACATTTCATGTCACACCCTAACCCTAATCCTAACCCTTTCTCTTTTTTCCTTTTCTTCCTGGAATCTTTAGTCCCTTCTATTGTCCAATTTCCAAAATCACAAAAGTGTGGAATTCCTTATGATTTAAAATAGACTAATTTAGCTCCCATGAAGGTACTATTTATTTATATAATTATTTCCAAAATCTTATAGCAAATGTTCTAATATTTCCAAATTTGCCTGATGTTAGGTGTGAACATCAGTGAAGAATTAAAAGAAGAATTAAAGTTGCTAGTTTATTGTTCTATGCCTATTGCATAGCAATATTCCCAGTCTGGTAGTTTACCCCTGGGAAAGACTAGGTAAAGCTCAATGGCGTTTAAGCAGGGGTGAATAGGTATATCTAGGTAACAATTCCAGACTGGCCCCATTTGACCCCTCCTGACTGGGATATTTGTTCATACATTTCTTAAATTAAAATCTTTATTGACTTTCTGCTGTTTATTTCAAATTCTTTAAATTCTTAAGCTTATAGCTTTCTCAGAAATACAGGCATTTCTGCTTTTATGGCCTAAAGCAGAAGGATAAAGAATTCCATTTGTAAAGGTACTTTTCTAGTATCTGTTCTAAAAGAACAGTGCGCGGATTGTATTTTCCTCTGTAAAACTACTAATCCTGTTTAAACAAACTTATGGTGAGGTTTACGCTAAGTGAAAAACAGCATTTCAGCTCACATTAATGCACTAAATAATTGAATAATAAAATCTTTAGTATATTTTTTAATGAGCTGTAACGCATAGGAAATCTTTTAAATTGACAGTTGAAGAGTGCTCATGTTGTATATCTCCCATTGAGGCTGTGAGTAAAGTCTGTTTTAGAATTGCTGAATAGCAGCTCATCAAAGTTCAATTCTACTAACTGGCAATTCTACTAATTGAAAAGGCTATGTTTACAGAAAATACTAAATCAGAATTCTTAAGAGCATGCAGCTACTGAATATGCCTTAGAAAGCTGGATGCCTCCATCCATGTTTATGTACTGCGTCATAGTTAAGCACAAACTGGCTACTACATGATTCACTCCTTTATCATCACTGTATGCCCTGTGTTCTCAGTCTTCTTTGACGATCACTCAGAAACTGCAGTTGGTGCAAAATGCAGCAGTAAGTTTGTTACTAATTGCTATTGTCTTAAAGGCTTATGTGAAAGCCTTATCAATAGGCTTCCAGCTTCAATTGAAAGTGATAATTTTAACTTTTAAACCTTACATGGGTGGGCATCAAGGTACCAGCAAAGACTATCCATTCTCACCAGAGTTGAGATGTCTGAGAATGGCTTGCAGGAGAAACCACTTCTGTCATGGGGCAGAATTCTGATTTGGACACTGACAATGTTGCTCCAGCTGAGACTGGATTGTCAGACTTAGGAATCTTCAAGCCACGATTCATCTGAAGAGGCTGAGCAATCACAGGCATTTTCTGATCAGTTGGAGCAGTTGGATGATTAGGCATATCCTCCAAGCCCCAAGTCTGGATGCATGCAGCAGTGAGCAGAGCAATGCCAGTCAATGAAGCTTCTCACTAAGCAAAGGATGATGCCTGAGTAAGTGCATACAGTTGCTTTTAATCTCTGTTGGAAACAACAGTTCAAAATAATAGTTTGTGATTCTTGGACCGGCTGACTACCTGATTTGGCTTTCTGTGATTTTGGGAAAGTATTTGGATTACGCTATTGCTTCTTGGAGTGTATCTGCAGTTTTTCAGGAATCACTCTTTGCTAGGGATTTAAATTACATTGCTGTCTGCTATTTGCTTCAGCTTCCAAGTACTGTCTACATGTGTATTCCTGCAGCCTTGAAGCAGAACAGCTGCCAGCATTGTTCCAGTCAGGTGAAATGAATTCAGAAAGAGTAACTTTTGGATCTCTTTTACTTTTGGAATCATCTTTGGGGAATCTAGAGTTATGGCCACTCAAAAGCTGGTGACAGCTGAACTGCTGGAAAGAGTGCCTTTGAGTTATAAATGGCCACTACTGCATTCCTATTTTAGACTGTAATTCTGACCTTTGTTTTTGATTTGTTATGAGTTGTTTTGTGCTTGTGATGCTGTTGGAATTATGAAATAATATTTTTTCCATAATGACAGATATTTTATTGCACTTACACTATGGAGATTCTCAGTCATCCAGGTCCCTGTTGTCCCAAAATGCTTTTTCAAGAGGCAAGTGGACTTTCTTGTTTTCTTTGAAGACGTTTTGCTTCTCACTCAAAGCTGAAGAAGCTTCTTGAGTGAAAAGTGAAACATCTTCAAAGAAAAACAAAGACTTTTTACTGTGGATGTTTAATTGCATTTTTATCTTATTATAAGCTATTGAAAGTTTGTTTCAGTGGCATACACGTTTCAGAAATAAAAACAGCTATTTGCTTTTGACAGTCCCAGCTACTAGAGTCAATGCTTTTTTTTTTTAAAGAAATTCTGATAAGCCAGAAATTAATGTGAAAGGGGCGTTGTCTTACCTGAACGCCTTTTCTCAGCATGATGATGGAGAATCCACGGATGGGTTGTCTTAATCTATCTGCTCCAATTAGACTAAGTCTGAAATTTAGTACCGCCCCCTCTGTGCCAACTGCACCCCAGTTTTAGACTTAGTCTCTTTGCCCCAAGACGCGTTTTGTCTTCGCTCCTGGAGCAGAAGACTGTTTAATTCTATTTAATTACTTAGCTCAGGCTATTATTATTATTTGTTATTTTATTATTGATTCAGAATCGATTATATCTAGAAGAAAGATCAATTATCCCAGTCTGAAGCCTATTCAGGCTGACAGACTCACAATCCTCTCCCTCTGGGGGGGGGGGAAACTTTTCCCTTCTTTGTTTTCCTCAGTTAGGGACAGCAAGATCAAACCTTTGATTTAGGTCGTTTTCAGAGCCTCTTCAAGCCTGGAGGGAGCCTTCCCAGGTCCCTTGGCCCCAGCAGAGAGCAGCAGGTGAGAATTTGGGCGCGGCCCAATTTTCGGAGCCGGGAGGGCCTGTCAGGCCTTGGACGACAGCTTTTCCAGCCGGCCTAATCACATGCCACCAGCTGCTTTAGGAGCCCAGGCGATTCACCTGAACGAGGGCTCGTTGCAGCTTAGACCCTAGGCCTCAAGGCCTTCTCCCAATTTTCGGAGCCGGGAGGGCCTGTCAGGCCTTGGACGACAGCTTTTCCAGCCGGCCTAATCACATGCCACCAGCTGCTTTAGGAGCCCAGGCGATTCACCTGAACGAGGGCTCGTTGCAGCTTAGACCCTAGGCCTCAAGGCCTTCTTCCAACGGCCGTTTTTTAGGGCGCGAAATTGGCGGCCGCCATTTTGAATTGCCTCCCAGCAGCCATTTTGGGTGTGGCTGAAGCCCCCGGCGGCCATTTTGTATGTGGTTGAGGCCCTCGGCGGCCATTTTGTGAGTGGCGGAAGTCACTGGCGGCCATTTGTGGGTGGCTGAAGTCGCCGGCGGCCATTTTGTGTGGGGCTGAAGCCTTGGCGGCCATTTTGAGTGTGACTGAAGTCACCGGCGGCCATTTTGTGTGGGGCTGAAGCCTCGGCGGCCATTTTGAGTGTGCCTGAAGTCATTGGTGGCCATTTTGTGTGTGGCTGAGGCCAGACTGCCTGGAACTTTGTTCTGAAGGCAGTATTACATCATCGGTGGCAGGATCGTCGAGAGAGCAGGTTCGACCGGGGAGGGCCGGATCGATCCCAAGTGATCGGGGTGCCCATTAACTCCCCGCCCATCCCCCTCTTGGGCTGAAGTATCTCTGTAGACTCCCTTGGTGAAGTACAGTGCCGAGGGGGGCGTTTTGCCAAGGTTGAGACCAGAGCAACTCATCATGGCAGAGAAAGGCAGCGAGCCGGCCAAGAGGAGTCGCCAATCAGAGGCAAGTGGTAAGAGCACCACCAAGCGAGCCCGGCCAAGCAGGGAGCCACAGAGGGAGGAAGGGTGCCAAAGACTGAGAGCGGCCTCCCCAGATCTGACAGACACGATGGGAAGGTCTATTTTGGAGCCCCTTTCTTCGTACAGTGCCTCAGCCCCAGGGGCCTGGTCTCCCCCCAGGGGAATTCCTGAGTCAGATTCAAACCTAACAGTGGCTTCAGGGAGGGGTATAACCGGTCAGGACACCTCAGGGCCCCAGGCCACATTCACTCCCACTGCAGCAGGACTTCGCCCTCCTGAGAACCAGGCCCTGAACCCAAACCTCCTCCAGTCCATGATAGCCCAGGCTGTGGCTCAATTTATGGCCTCCAACACCACAGACACACCCCCCCAGGCCACGTATCATCCACAATCTCCAGATTTGATGGAGGATCCCTCATCGGATTTGGAATCTACAGGGGCTGAACAATCTGGCCTGATTTTGTTTGAGGACGAGGGCATCACTCCCTCTGACCCCACCCCTCCTGTCGGTCTCTTTGACCATTCATTCTTTAATTCCCTGCTACTCAGGGCCTGCACTAGTGCAAACCTCCCCCAAGAACAGGAGACCCCACCTCCAGGGGTCCCCACGCCATATACACCAAGCCCTCAGTCTCGCAGAACAATATTCCCTGCCCTCCCCTTTTTCTGAATATAGTTCAAGAACAATGGGAGAACTTAGGATCCTTCTTAAGCCCCGGTGCAGTAGAGAGAACATTATTCAATGTTGCCCGTTCCCTGGCCTCCCTATTGGAGATTCCTGAGATTGATGAGCCTTGAACTCATTGTCTCCCAATGTTAACATCCCTGGGGACATAAATGAGGCACTTAGGGCGGAGGATAAAAAGATTGACTCCGCATTGCGTAGTTCCCATCTGGCATCAGCCTGGGCAACAAGGGCGGCAACGTCCATGGCCTTCTTCGCTAGGGCTTCAGCCCTTGGGTTACGTGAGCTCCAGGACAGGATCCCTCCAGACCAGCTCAGAGCTCACCAAAATCTGGGTAAGTTAGTGGCTACATCCCAGTACCTAGCCGACGCTTCTCTGCACATGGCTAGATACACTGCCAGACCATCGCTGCAGACATCTCAGCACGAAGGTTCCTTTGGCCCAGGAATTGGCGAGCAGACACCAAGACCAAGTGGCGTCTGGCCTCTAAACCTTACACAGGTGGACATCTCTTGTGGTAAGGCACTAGGACCATACTTAACTGAAGGTAAGGACAAACGTAAAACTCTGGTTAACTCATGTCACAGAGCAGTTACAGGAGGCTGCCTTTCGACCAGCTCCATCCTGGGACTGGGCCCAGGCATCCCTCTATTCCTTTCAGAGACAAGAACGACAGCAGGATCGTTCAGCATGCAGAAGCAGACCACAGATCCAGGCCAAGCGGCCCCTTCAAGACCGAGGGGCCGTTCCTCTGAACGAGGCAAGTGACCTCACAGTCTCACTTCCCATAGGAAGCCAGCTGGCCCCTTATTCCAGCACTTGGGCAGTCACCACTACAGATGCCGGCTGGTCCCTTATTCCAGCACTTGGACAGCCATCACTACAGATGCATGGGTGTTAGACACTGTCAACAGGGTTTGAGATTAGAAATTGTTCTCAACCACCTGACAATTCCGCTCTTGCCCTATCCCAACGAGCAGGTCCAGGGCTGACTTTATGTCAGATGCCATAGCTCATTTATTACAAATACGAGCAATTGAACCAGTACACAAGACCAAGAAGGACGAAGGTTTTACTCAAACCTCATCGTCATCCCTAAGACTTGGGGGGCTGGAGGGCAATCTTAGACTTGAAAGGTCTAAATCTTACTTGAGGTATAAGAAGTTTAAGATGCAACCACTTCAATCAATCCTGGCCAGCATCAGGCAAGGTGACTTTCTTACCTCAATAGACCTAACTGAGACATGTTTCCTAACCACCGCAAATTCCTCAGATTCAGCTATGCCCATTACCAGTACAGAGCCCTACCATTTGGCCTCTCATCGACACCGAAGGTATTTACAAGGTACTGGCAGTGCTCGCAGCCCACCTTAGACAAATTCCAATCAGAATTCAATGCTATTTAGATGACATTGACCTTTGTTTTTGATTTGTTATGAGTTGTTTTGTGCTTGTGATGCTGTTGGAATTATGAAATAATATTTTTTCCATAATGACAGATATTTTATTGCACTTACACTATGGAGATTCTCAGTCATCCAGGTCCCTGTTGTCCCAAAATGCTTTTTCAAGAGGCAAGTGGACTTTCTTGTTTTCTTTGAAGACGTTTTGCTTCTCACTCAAAGCTGAAGAAGCTTCTTGAGTGAAAAGTGAAACATCTTCAAAGAAAAACAAAGACTTTTTACTGTGGATGTTTAATTGCATTTTTATCTTATTATAAGCTATTGAAAGTTTGTTTCAGTGGCATACACGTTTCAGAAATAAAAACAGCTATTTGCTTTTGACAGTCCCAGCTACTAGAGTCAATGCTTTTTTTTTTTAAAGAAATTCTGATAAGCCAGAAATTAATGTGAATGTGTCTGATACTGTAGGAACAGGTTAGATATCATAGGGAGGCCATAAGCCTGATATTGCTATCTTCCTTTTGCAAGAAGAGATGGAAACCAATCTGGGTCTGTTTTCTGTGTGGAAAACCCAGCTCTGTAGCATAGGGTGGGTTTTATCCAGTGTGTGGTTTCCTTTTTGTCAGCCTTTCCAACCTGACATTCTCTAGATCAATTGAGACTCCAAGTCCCAGATTTTCTAGGATTTATGATTTTATGTCATTACTGGAGCTGGTCCCAACCAACATTGAAGGTGCTGTATTAAGAAGGACTGAGGATGCTATTCACATCCTTATTAAGTGGGCTACTGGTTTAAAAGCTCTCATTACCAAGAAAAGTATTTTAAATATTCTTTATAAGATATTTATGTGGTTGAAGAAAGACACTACTACCATTAGCAGGTTTGGAGTCAGAGAAGAAATAGATCCCCACCACCACTCAGAATCATGCAACATTATTCATTGTTGCAAATCCTGTTGGTGAGAATGAAGCTAATCATTTTCTATGCAATCAGTTTTGCACCATTTTAAATAAAATGTAGAGCCAGTTTGGTGCAGTGGTGAAGGCATCAAGCTAGAAATCAGGGACGAGTCCACTTCTGAAAATGTTGCAAAACTGCAGGAACCTGTCCAGGCAGTCTCTAAGAACTGGACATGACTGAAGAGAGAGAGAGAGAGAGAAAAAAAGATGAAGTTATAGGAAACGTTATTTTTTTGTGGCTGATAATATAAATCGATCCGAGCAATGTTCTCCTGTAGGGGTCGATTTTATATAGGGTTTTCATTCTTATTTCGCGCATTTATTGCAAACATTGCAGGAAACCTTGCCAATGACTGCGAGGCGGAGGACCAGCGTAGCCACTAAGCAGGGGCGTCGGTACCTTCCAGCCTTCCGATTCCACCTGGGTCTTTGAGCCGGAGGGGTGGGGGCGAGGAGGAGGGGCTCTGGGGCACGTGCTGAGCCTCCTGCCTAAGGCCAGCGCCTCCGCAGGCCGCCCCTCCGGCACGCGCCTGCCGAGGTATAATGTCCCGGCGAGCGCGTGCGTAAAACCGGCTGTCTCCCCCACCTCTTTTCCTGGAGGGAAGCGACGAAGTAATGGATTAAAGGATGCGCCTCCTTCCCGATTAATGGAAAATCGGCGGCTGCTGCTTCTGCTGCCGCCAGGTGGGAAAGAAGGTGGCGGAGGAGCGATTGTCGCCGCCCTCCGAAAGTCCTTGGTTGGAAAAGTGGGTCTCTTCAACCGCTGCACCAGCAGCAGCGATGGCGACCGATAGTAAGTGCCCTTCTAGCGGGCTTTCGCAGAATGCGGGATTCTCTGCGGGATTTTCTACTTTGCGTGTGTGTGTGTGTGTGTGTGTGTGTGTGTGTGTGTGTTTATGTTTATGTTTATGTTTATGGGAGTCCTGCTTCCTTTGCTTTTGTGGGAGCTTTGTGCCTGTCCCCCAATCCCTCCCCCTCCCCGCGGTCCCTTTTTGCAATCCGTTTTGCATTTTTGTCATACTTCTTTCAGCTGGAGATCTTTAGATGTTTGGGATTTCAAATCCCACCAAACCTGATATAGGCTGACATTTTGGGAGGCTCTTTTTGGAGTGTGTGTGTGGGGGGGTGTCTGTGGCTCCTCTCTTGCTCTTTGTCCTCACCTGTCCCCTCCCCATTTTTTCTCTCTGCATTTAGCTGCTGCATCCTGAGTTTTTCTTTCCAGATCTCCCAATCTGTCATCAAATTGTAGTCAGGTCTTAAAGTTGTATGTAATTTGAGTCCCTGCCTTGTTCCCAGGAGTTGTAGATTGATCTCTGGCATAACAGACAATGGAAGATTTATTTGGGCCACCTGAATTTTGATCTGACTTCTAAGGATCTGGGGCCCTGAACTGGACAGCTCTGTTTTATCTAAGGCTGTGTCGATTTGATTATGTTATCACCATCATCTGCTAGAACAGGGCTAGGCAGCATTTTAACCTAGTTGAGCCTGAACTCAGAACTAAGTGTAATTGTTCTCTAGGATACAGTGTGTGGCTTTCCAAATGTTGCACAGCAGTCCCAGCCATCATAGCCTATCTTAGATGCTGATTGAAATGCCAGCAATGAACAGTCAGATGCACCATTCCTGGAAAGCTTGTTGTTCTGTGGTCTTGATCTTTGCAGTGATAAAGGTTCACTCTCAAGTATGCTACAGGACATGAAGGAGGCCTTTTGCAGTGAGGCATCCTTCTCAGCTATGATGAAATGGAGGAAGGAGATGGCCCAGGAAACCAGCAGCATCCTCTGTTTATTTCACAAGCAACTTAATCCCCCTAAAGTTGGTACAATATCAGCTACTAGTGAGGTGAATAAATGAATAACTTGAGTTCTGGTCTGAAACTCTTCAAGAAAAGGCACAGTATATAAAGCAGCTTTCACCAAATTTGTTAACTTCCTATATCCCCTGACTAGGAATTGTGGGAATTAAAGACAATACCCATTCAATTAATTAAACCATTGAAATCATATGAGCTGTTATTTAGACAGCTACCGATACATTCGTTGCTTTTTGAAGGTTTTATTTAAGATATTGATATAAGCTTTAAGACTCAAATGGATTAGGGCAGAATTATCTTTTTCTGAATCTGGACATTTTGATCTGCAAGAGAGGGCCCTATAAAGATTTCTGTGGTTTGTGATGGGCAAGGTTGCTCCTGTTCTTTCTGCCTTTAGAAAAATATTTAAGACACATAACCTTATAACTAAAATCAAACCTTTTCTGATGAATTTTTTACTTACATGTTAAGATGTTTTAGTTTTCTTTTGAACGCTTATCTGTTATGAGTTTCTGTCATGCTATAAGTTCTTTTTCATGTCCCACTTGAACAGGAAGTTTTAATATTACATAACTTGGATGCTCAAGTTTTTAGGATGGCAGATTTTTTTCATTACATATACAGGCTAACATAATAGATTGAATAATATTGTTTAATTTTTTAAACTTTCTTTTGTCAATATATTAAAAGAAAAGATAAAAGTATAAGTTTTTGCATCAGATTCTTTGTAGAATTTTATATCTTTGTCTCTGTACATTTATTCTTAGAATACATGGTATGAATTTGTCAAATTGAAACATTGACAGAAATGTTTGGGCAATAGCTAAAAACGATGTAGGCTAGAGCCGTGGTGGTGAACCTATGGCACGCGTGCCGCAGGTGGCACGCAGAGCACTCTCTGGGGGCACACTTGCCATCGCCCCAGTCCTAGGCCTTCAGCTGGGTTTTATAAAACCTTTTCACTTTAGGCCTCCGCCTCCGTGTGCAAAAAAAAGGTTCAGTCAATCAATTTCAACTTCTCGCGGGGAAAAAAAAGATCCCGCAAAGTTGGAATTGATTGATTAAACTTTTAGTCCCACCCAGTCTGCCATTATCACCAAAGCCACGCCCACCCAGTGGGCCACACCCACCCAGCACCCAATGATACATAAGTGGGTTTTGGGTTGCAGTTTGGGCACTCAGTCTCTAAAAGGTTTGTCATTACTGGGCTAGAGACTTTCTCAGAATGCAGATTTTTATTATGGTTCATCACACAGTTAGATGTTCAGGCTGGATTTGGCATTTTCGTCTACCTATCAAGTCCTTTCCAAGGTTATTGTTGTTGTTATTGTTGTTAGTAGTAGTATTTAATTAATGAGAAAGTTATAATAAAAGTATCACCTGTGTCTTTTAGGAGGACAGTCTATTCACAAGGATGAACATTATAAACTTCTGTTGCATAATGTGTCCGAAATATCATTTGAGCCTCATTACTTGTGCCTGGAGTGAGAAGTCTGGATCGATTTATTCAATGTTCCATTAGTTTGTTTTCTTTGCTATCTTCTATTTATTTCTCTCCTACTGTCACAGTTCCGACAGATAGATAGATAGATAGATAGATAGATAGATAGATAGATAGATAGATAGATAGATAGATAGATGAAACTATCTTCCTTAGAGAACATTTTATTCAGGAAACAAAGTATCAGCACTACATAGTTGAACCCAAAACTAGATTCCCTTCCCCCAGATACAAAGTAACAAGTTCCACCCCAACGAAGCAGTCATAAATCACACACTCCAATTAGCCTGGAGCAGGGGCTCTCTCCCCAACTCCTCAGCCCACCAGTTTGTGTTCTTGAGTTTCCATGGAGCTGCATTATTATGGTTACCTGAGCTCAAGCATTCTTCCCATCCCCCCTTCAATACCTGATTTCTAAATAGAAGAAAAAGCATGTTAAAAGCAAAATAAAAATCGTTGCAATTTTCATCAGTTGTCAGAGCAGGAACATCCATTGTTACAGCGTTGACACCTACTTCTTCAAAATCCAACTTCCATTTGGATAGACCATCATAAGGAAACCAGACTGTAGCTTGCAGAATTCTTTGTAGATATGGACACATCATGTCATATGAATATCTTTAACAAAGCCTTCATAGCTATTCTACCAAGTCCTAGTAGTCTGTGGCATATATCTTAACTGCTGGTTTATTTACTTTTCACAGTCAATCCAAAATAAGCAGAATCTATCCAGCACTTCACTATTTTCACTGTTAGTTTTTAGGCAAGTTGTTGTATCTGTTGACATTAAGGCTTCATCAAGTGGGTTTTTATTCTATTTTAGAGATTGCGATGTTTAAAAGAAAAAGTTAGTAAGTGCAAAATCCAATACTTCGGTCACTGAATCCTCTTGGCTTTTAATTTTAGTAGAGGTTGGTAGCGGGGGTGAATTAAGCATGTTGAATGGGAGTGAAAGTTTATGAAAAAATAGATTAAAGGTAAACTTGTTAGGCAAGTATAAATAAACACAAAAATAGCACTGAGCCAAAGCAGATTCAATTAGCTATTTTCAAGTTGACAAGGGTTCAGCCCCTGAAATTAAGGTATCATGGCTGTTTTGTTTTCTATTTTGATTTGTGCAGTGGTTGCTTAGTTACCTGAATTGTTCTGTTGAGGGATCTTTGTATGAGTTAACATTTAATTTAGAAGAGATCTTTTTTGTTTTTAATTTTGATTATAATAGACTTTAAAGATTGTATGAATGAACAACTACTGCTTCTAAGATCTTCCAGTTGTGCAGTGTGTGGTGTTTTCATGTTTTCCTGACCTTAGGTGCTGCAACATATTTTACGACAGTACATTTTTTGAAATATTTTGAGTAGAATTAGTCTAGGAGGTTGGTCTTTTTGTTTTGTTTTTTAGCTTTTTCTTAATCCAGGACATTGAAAAGAAAAGGAAAAAAAATATGTTCGATGTATAAATAAACTTGGAAGAGTCTGACTTAGGGCTCTTGTGTATCTTCCAGATTTGTTTTACAACATCCCCTGGTCACATTCAAATAGTACTTTGGATGCTCTTTTCATCCTCTCTCTCTCTCTCTCTCTCTCTCTCTCTCTCTCTCTCTCTCTCTCTCTCTCTCTCTCTGTGTGTGTGTGTGTTTGTGTGTGTGTGAGGGGAGGAGTTACTAATACAGGTGAAATAAGGCAAAATGAAATTAAGAACATTTTAAAATATTTATTGGCATTTTAAAAGCTAACAACTACACTATACTACACTACACTGGTAGTCCTTGGCTTAACAACCATTTGTTTAGTGATTGTTCAAAGTTACAGTGGCACTGAAAAAAATAACTCATGACTATTTTTACACTTATGACTGTGAAATCCCTGTGATAATGTGATCAAAATTCGGACATTTTGGCATGTATTTATGAAAGTTGCTGTGTCCTGGAGTCATGTGATCACCTTTTGTGATCTAACAAGCAAAATCAATGGGGAAGTCAGATTCGCTTAACAACTGAGGTACTAACTTAATAACTCTGCAATGATTCACTTAAAAACTGTTGCTAGAAAAGTTGTAAAATGGGGCAAAACTAAACAAGTGCTTAGCAATGGAAATTTTGGGCTCAGTTGTGATTGTAAGCCAAGGACTACCTGTACTATACACTACATGTATAGCTGATTAAGTAGGTTGTAGCTGACCTAATTAAGTATATGAAGTATTATTCTGAGTTGGGAGTATACAACTCCTCATTGTCATTAGGAACTGAATCTCTTGATGAATTGTAGTGTTGAAGGAAAAGTCTTCATCATGGTTCAGTTCAAGCTAGGAATAAACAACATGGCGACTGCTTTAGAAAGGTTGCAGTTTATTGGAGAGGAGAGCCAAACAGAAAGATGACTCTGGAAGAAAAGAGAGAGAGCACATGAAGGGAGTGGGTTTTTATATAGCTCTGGGGCTCTTGAGGTTGTTTCCTGTTCCTGTTTGAGGCTTTGTA